TCTGTAATATTCTCGGTATAAAAAGTTATTAGGGTACAATACCAAAAAAAATAATATTTTATAAAATATTTTACTTTGTCAACCTCTTGTCCTACAATATTGGTTTCGTGACGTAGATTCTGAACAGAGTTTAATGAATATATATATGTTATTTAGTTCGCTCAAACCGAAATAATATTCTATTTTATTGTTGCTAATTATACAGCCATTTGGGAATACGAAAGCATACGATGATCATCAATATTTTTGTTCTTGCAGCAAATTACGAGTTACGATAGAAATTCTAATCACTGCAACCGTAAAAGAAATCGTAGGGCAAGGGTTTAACGAGAAGTACGATATTGTTGCTATGTTGCACAGTTGTACTTTTTTCGCCGAGAAGCTGGACACAATTCATAACTTCATATGATTCTAGTATTATTATTCTGTATCACTGTCCGACAAAATCAAACTTCTTTTCCGATTTCCTATAGCCACCGTGAAATTTTTCATACCTCTATTGTTTAACAATATGTTTCAAGAGGTTCAACATTTTAAAAATTATTATTTATTTATGATCGACGTCGTTTTATATCTGTATTTTACACGATTTTGTGATCATCAATATTAGCGAGTAAATGATTCTAATTTTACAAATTTTTTCGGATACATTAACAAATTAAGATAAATTATATTTTCACTGTCTATCTCCGTAAAGTCGATTCGGTCATACAAGTTGCAACAAAAACATACATACTATAAACAAATCATAAAATCGTGAAAAGAACTTTTCGTAAAAATACAAAAATATTGCGAAGAAACTACGCGTGTCGGCACTTTTTTAAAATTTGACGTTAATATATAATTATTTAGGAGCAAAAGCAATTAATAAATTGTATGCCAGTATATATATTCGGGAAACTCTATCTTTCAAGACCGATTAGAACTTTCTAACGATATTACTTTTCATGCAATACCTCTCATTTTTGTCGAAAATTCTGGGTTATTACAAAAGCTCGTTCTTTTTTTTCAAAAACTGAGGGTGATGGAGCAATTTTCGGTTTCTTGTTCGGGGAGTAAAGCTCTACAAGAATTTCATAGTGACTATAGAAAATCAAGAATCATGTCAGCCCGCGTATTCAGTATAATGCAATAAATTCGTCCCTTCTTCAATTATGTATTTAGAAAATAAGAATTCGCACGAAAACCCACGATCCAGCTATCGCTATTCAAGTAGTACACCGAGTCTCTAAATATATTTATGTTTAAAAATTACTCAATTAATTATTCAGCTCAATCATTGCCTCTATAAGAACACGTGAACGCGTTGAATCCTCCATAACCGATACGTGCAACGGAGATCATGCTCGTCGAAACGCTGCATAGACGCAATCGTATCGGTAAAATCGGCGATTACGCGTAACGGTTCTCCGGCTGCGCTAATTAAGAATAAAAAATCAAGTAGTGGAAGTATCATTGGAAACGATTACCCGGGAATCTACGCAATCGTTGCTCGGATCGGTTCCCCCCAGCTGTTCCGTAACGCGAAACTATAATAGAATCCCTAGTGGTAATACCCGGAACGTACGTAATCCCGTTTCGAAATTGCAACTTGTTACACGTCGCATGATTAAAGGGCAATGTCTATGCAACGCCGGATTAAAGACCGCCGGTCGCAGTAATAATTTATTTACAGCTCCGACTTACGATATCCTGGAACCATTAAGTAGATTCTCTGGAGAAAAGTTTGGCCGCGGCCTGGCCTACCTGGGGTACAGGTGTGAGTCGTAATAACATGGCGGGTGCGCCCTTTAACCTCTAATATCCCTACCTTCGCGCTGACTTCACTAACGCCGCCACAATCGGCCGCAGGTACACCGCAATCATCCTACCTCTGTATCAATCGCCAGTGGATTATTATTGCGGATACACTTAGCATTGCGCTTTCTCTCGATAACTTTTGGCAACGTGCGGCGAGAACTACGCCGGCTGCTCGGTCTAACGGTCTTCACGATACTTTGGTCGTTTGCGATAATGCAACGTGAAATAGTTACTTCCAAAAATTGCATTTTCACCCGTTTTATTAACATTAGAATCACGGACGATTGTCGTGTAGTCATTTCTACCGCGGGGGTCAAGGTGACTCTTTCTTTGAAATTAACAAGTAATTTAAGAAGAGATAGCATTTTATGGGTTTTTATGAATTTTCCTATTTTACGAGCTTATAAGATATAAACTGAATGATATAAATAATATAATAAATAAACTGAATGATATAGACAATATAATAAATAAATTGAATAATATAAATAACAATAAATAAACCGAATATAAAAATTTAAGAAGAGACAGCATATTATGCGTTTTTATGTATTTTCCTATTTTACGAGCTCATAAAATATAAACTGAATAATATAAGCAATATAATAAATAAACTGAATGATATAAACAATATAATAAATAAACTGAATAATATAAATAACATAATAAATAAACCGAATATAAAAATAAACTGGAAACAAACTGAATAATTAGCGATAATAATAATCAGAGAAAACTTGGACCATTTTTCTTTTTCTATGCAAACGTCGAAATCTTTCACCTTCACTGACAGTATCGGATGACTCGCTTGTACTTTCGTTATATAATGATGGACGTCCATTTTCACCGGCCATTAGATCGCTGTCATCATAGTCGATATCAGAACTATTCTTAAAACTAATTGTAAAATTACTTTCGCCAATCGAGAGATTATTCATTGTAAAAAGAAGGTAACAATGCTATTAGATTTTATTAATCTCCATGTTTCCTGGCATTTTAAAAATCTGCATATGATATAAGTGCATAAATATCCGTGGCCTTTGAGCACAAGAATCTCGTTCTTATTATTATTTATTATATGTTCTTGTTCGTTTTAGTTTCGTACGTGTAACAACGTTTACATTTAATTATAATTACGACTGTTTAAATAAAAACGCAATGGGCAACACTCTAGTGAGCGAAATATTTTTCTTAATAATGAAATTGCCATCAAAGTGTGCACCGATTTCACATTTTTAATTTACAGTTGTGGGAATCGTAAGGATGTTGTTGGAAATGATTAAGTCAATTTCTTAATTACATTATGATTTCGACATTCTTATAAAGCAATAGACGTCAGTCGCTTTTAACAATCTTGGATCAGTATTAGCCGTATAGAAAAAGAATATTTATATTTATTATTATAACATGTTTATATTCACTTTAATTCATAAATATCGCAAACGGATAAATCAAATTTTATTTCTATCTGAAATCTTCATCGCGAGATGAACTGGTTATTAAACAGCAAGAGGATAAGGTTCGTGTGTATGCATCCAAAAGTAGTTACTCAAAATTGTATTATATTCTAATTTTACAAATTTTATATTATATTCGTTATTTTACATTTTAAAGAAACGCATAAAATTGCGATAGGGAAACAACTAACTTCAACATCGAAAATACAAAACAAAATGAATACATAATTAATATAATATAATACTAAGATAAAAAGTATTATATGTATAGGTGATATAATACTAGGATAAAATATTATACAGATAATATAATACTAAGATAAAAAGTATTATATGTATAGGTGATATAATACTAGGATAAAATATTATACAGATAATATAATACTAAGATAAAAAGTATTATATGTATAGGTGATATAATACTAGGATAAAATATTATACAGATAATATAATACTAAGATAAAAAGTATTATATGTATAGGTGATATAATACTAGGATAAAATATTATACAGATAATATAATACTAAGATAAAAAGTATTATATGTATAGGTGATATAATACTAGGATAAAATATTATACAGATAATATAATACTAAGATAAAAAATTATATGAAACCATATAAATCGACGTTAGGCGTAACAATTTCTTCTTCCCATATACCAAATGTTATTGTTAACTTGGAGATGTTAAAATGGACACCCTACATAGCATACGGCAGCTGATTTTGGATTCATTTTCGTAGCCATATGTGGTTCTCCTTTGCGACCTCGGCCTCTTTAAGAAATTTATTGTTATCGAAGTAGATAGAACCTTCTTGAACCTTCATGGTTCTGTAAATCAATTTGGAAAAGTAGGAATCAAATAATTGACCAGTTTCGAGTCACTTATGGTCTGTATCGTTACTATTGCGAAATCATGTACACGCGTTCATCACATATTGTTATATCGTATTATTTCCAATATTTCCTTTTTACATTTTAAATATCATTAGACAATACTTTGTTTAACAAAACGATAGGTGCAAAATATGTTATCATGGCAATTTAATGTAGTACAGATTCTTTAAACTATTTTCGATAAATTAGGCTTCTGTCATATACGTAAATTCTAATTTTTCTAGAACGTTTTTGAAAAATGATAGTTAGACTGCGGATTTTTATACAGTTTATTGCTCTTTTATGCAAATGTCTGCATCAATCGTAAGAAGAAATTTTAAGACGTTCTTTCTACTAATTTTTGTAATAAATGCATAAAATCTGCAGTATAGTAATAATCAAAGTCTAGTAAATTTGTTATCATGACTAATATTTTTCATATTACTACATATTTAATTAATATATTATATTATATAATATTTCCTAATAAATCAATAAGATTGCTAATAATTTAAATGTATAATTTTATCATAATTAGCAAGCATTTAACCTTTTGAACTACTTACTGCCAATCTGTGAGACCGCTACTAATTACTTATTCAACAAAAATTGTAAAAAAGAAACGTTTTTAATACATTGCTTCGACTCAATCAAATTTAGACCCTTCAATTATTGATGTGCAAAGTAAGAACAATTGATTTTGATTTTTGATTTAATACTTTTATATTGTTTTTAAGGGTTGAAGTTGAAATATATTTTCCTAAATGCAAGAAGTCAACTTTCAAAATACAAACGCTTGAACTACTACGTCTGAGTATGGAAAACAGGGATGTTAGAGGTAGTGATTAAATGAAAGTAGACAAAATGTTGTCCAAAACTGTAATTTATTTCTCGATAGTGCCAAAATACACTAGAATATTTCATAATCGTAAAAAATATTATCGGTACTGTTCAAATCTAAGTATGTAATATAGATGCGATGAAACATGAACGGTGATCGAATGACATGAAATTTCATACGAATGAAATTGTCCACCCGAAAGGTGAGTGAATGGCAGAATCGAACAAGTCTGAGCAAATAAAATAAACGATAAGTTACAATAAGAAGAAAAACATAACAGAACCGTAAGGAAACACAGACGTTTTAAAAACTCTTGTATCGATAATCATAGTATCAAATTATATTCCAGAAGAATTCTATAATTCAACTTTCAATCTACTTAAAAAAAACTGACGAAACGAACTAAATTCTGTAAAATAATTCACTTCACGTGTTTCCTCACAGTAGAGTCATTTTTCGGCGCTGTAATGGTTTTACTTATCGCAACTGCTGAACGGCAGGCTACGTGATCGTGGAGATCATACACAGAACAATGAAAACTGAAGAGAACAGAAGTAAGTCAGGTGGAAGGTAAAATAACGAAAATCATGCAAATAAGTTTATGCCCACATTACGGCGCCTAAATGTAAAGTAAGACATAAAACGTACAGAATACTCGAATTCGATCGCTGTGATCGACCGAATTCAAATACAAAGGCTTATTCATACGATCGCAAGACCAACCCAAATGAACCAAAACTATCGCGAGAGCAAAAATCGCGTCGTCCGTGGACAGAATAGAAAAAAGAAAAATACTTGATTTCCGCAAACAAACAAAAAAAAGAAACGTCCGTATACTGATTCGTAATACTTTCAAGGAAGAAACGGTTCGCAAAGGGTTGATTTCGCGGCGTATTTTTTTAAGTAGACGCAATACAAACAGGCATCGTACTCTCGACAGTGTACACTCGATAACTTCGTCGCAAAATGGCCCGCAGTTTCGTCACGAGAGCGATTCACGGTCGCCGTTACAAAATCGGTCTCGCAAATGTACGATGTATTACAGTCTGTTGCGATCTGCATTACATCGACGCGTACAATTTTCCATGATTTTCTATCGGTGCGCACGGAAACCGCGGACCGCTGTAAGAAATATCGATTATCGCATAAATTGTATTCTCCATTTTTTTGTTTTTTAGATTTTTCCCCCAACGTACGAAGCAATATACAATCGCACATTGCCTTGCGTCAACAATCTTCGTTTAAAATTAAGAAAAAGAAAAACCGCATGCAACGTATATCTAAGTAGCTGCTAAAACGGCAACGCAACCGGATTACGTTTTCCGCGACGGAATCAAGCTTGTACAAGCATGACACGATCATCAACGATTACAGGGCGTGAATGCAATGATAATGTACCGGGTGGAACGGCGAGAATAGAACGGAGAAAGAAAAAACGTAAGAGAAGTAGACGAAGAAGTAGAGAAAGATCCGAGGAATCGTCCTCGTTGTTACCGTGTACGTGTGTATTATAATATAAGTAATATTTTGATTTCTCAGGTACTTTATACAGATTATCGTAGGTAAATAAGGCAGGCGAGGCAGGCCTCGTGTTCGTCGAGCCCGGTGTCTCATTCGATTCGGCGTCGCTTCGCCGATTCGACGATGCCACGGGACCGTCGATCGGCCGCGGTACGTAAAATTCGATGAGCAACGACTCGGATATGTCGTAGAATATGCCGCACAGTGTCACTATTCAAATACCGTAAATCGTCATTTTGATTTCACTCGACTTCTCCCCCTCTATTTGATTAACACACCGTTCGACAGATCCCACGTGGTGCATGACAATGCTGCAGCATTCGGCTGGCGAAAATGAAGCAATTCTTCTCGTGCGCTTGCAAACCTGATTCTCCCAGTATGCAACGTTCGTTTTCAATATTTTTGGAGGTTAATCATTAATTACAATATTATTAAAGGTATTATAACGATATTATTGATTTTAGGATAATGCATTTTATTTTGTTCTACAAATTGTTAACGGTTCAATATCAAACCAATTAAAATAGATCGGTTTCTGATCATTGAAATTGGTTTCTGATCTTTTTCTATCATAATTATTGAAATTATAAAAAAATTATTTGGATTGGTTTCGATGGTGTCCTTTCACAGTTATTGAAATTATGAAAGAGTCATTTGGGTTGTTCTCTGATTTTTTCTTTCAGTTATTAAAATTATAAAAGAGTTATTTGGTTTGATTTCTGATTTCTTTCTTTCGCAGTTATTGAAATTATAAAAGAGTTTTTTGGATTTGTTTCTATGTATCCTTTCCCAGTTATTAAAATTAAGAGTTATTTAGTTTGGTTTCTGATTTCTTTATTTCACAATTATTGAAATTATAAGACAGTTATTTTGATTGGTTTCTGGTATTTTTCTCACAGTTATCGAAATTATAGAAACGTTTCTATGACAAATTGGTTGAAACCTTCTTTAACTGCAGCATACATATTATTATTTAAATAAATTCAATCTATTACTACATGAAGGTAACACTTCCATCGTTCTGATCAAATGAAAAAGAAACAATCTACATTCGTACCATTCAAATTACACAGCCCACACGAGGAAAACTGCTTCATCCCCGACTCTCCCCTCGTTTTCTCTAGAACGCGACTGCGTTAGAGTGGTCGATCTACACGGATCTCAATGAAGTCCACCCCGATCTCTTTCGATCGGTCCACCAAGAAAAAGAAAATCATTATGCAGGGAATACAATCGGCTCTCGAGTTTCGCACTCAATGGATGCGTGTGTGTATCTCGGAGTGTGTACGTGTAACGCATCGAGCCTGCATGCTGTTTGCGACCGAAGAACACGTAAGTACAGTGCGAAGGGTGGATTCACCCAACGTTTCGTATCTCGTTCGCGCGCGGATCGCCGAACATAATCATTCGGATCGCAAAGATCACGAGCGAACTATGCTCGTTACGCATCCGCCGCAATTTCCTCTCTCCCTTATCTCTTTTTCCCTTTCGTCTCCTACGAAGACATCGTTCACTGTAAACACAATGTCACGGAAAAATCTTTTCTCCCTTTCCGCGATCGAGACGATCCAGTCGATCGCTCTCGATCCGTGCTTGATACACAAGCTGTCGGTGACGTTCCGCCACGCTTCGATGTCCGATTGTGTTGAACAACACGTCGTCTTCGAACGCAGGGTTTTTCTCGGTGCTGTGACACACTGCGAAACCGTCGCGGCGTGGACGCGTTTTACGGGCCGAAATTAACCGGCCCCGCGAAATCTGCTAAAGCGTCCCCCGATAGAGGCTATCACGCTAAACGCAACAAACACACTCGTCAAACGTGTGAACCGCTTACACAGTAAGCATCGTGCGAAATTCTAAACCCTTCAAAACCAAACCTTATTGCGAAACCTTCGCCCCTTCTCTGTGGGACACGATATCGACGGATCTGAATCAACCGTGCGAGCCGACGAATTTTCGCTGATCGGATACAGCCACTCTGCGCCTAAACCTTACACCATCATCCCTTACCTAGTTACCGTAATTTTTATTTTCATGCATTTGTACATTTATTTTGTTTTTTTCGTTTTTCTTCTTCTATGCTGTAACAGAGACGATTAATATTAATATTATTATAGTACCACTATTTATACGATATCCAGCGAATAATTGTCCTTCGCATTGCTTTCCATAACCTACCCCGACTTTTGGACAAACACAATTTAAGAGTAACGTAACATTATCTTGATATCATAGCTTGTTTTCCTATATAGATTTCCTAATGTGCCCGTTCCATACACTTCTATACATTATTTTATTATGTACAGCGATATTCGAACATTACGAAATTGTAAATGGATTACAAAGTTGTAAATAAATTTCAAAATTGTAAATGGATTACAAAGTTGTAAACAAATTACAAGATTGCAAATGAATTACAAGATTGAAAAAAAGTAACAAAAGGGCACATTGTAATTCTCCAAAGACAACAAACGTTTTAGTGGATTATCCATCTATCTGTTTGATCAGCCAAAACTCGCTGGTAGAACACGCTGTTCAGTATACAGTGGATGCAAAATGTATCCACTTTAAAGACAATAACAAATGCGACAAATTCTAGTAGGTTTTCACGACCGTGTCATAAAAGGTATCCACAGTTCGTCTTAGTTTTGAACGACACAGTTCATTCAGATCCGACTATAGCGTTCCTGCTACGTTTTTCATTAAACAATGCACTCGGTTTGCTGTAATAGTTATACCGATCATCTTTTTCTCCTTTTGCTCTGCTTATTGGAAAACGTATGTCTCTCTTACGTTCCACGTCGAAGCACAAAACAATTGTGTAAAATTCTACAATTATAATTGAATGGATACACTTTTCTTAAAATCTAGATTTCCGCCCCTCTTTTCACAAAATATTTCACAAAATAGACTTCTCTGATTTCCTTTCTTTTTCTACGAAAATCGTTTTCTTTCTCGTTTAGAAAAAATACTATTCGACCTAATCGTGCGATCGTTATTTACACTAGCTACAGTTCTTTTTTTTTTCAAGTTCCCTATTAGAGCCTTCGACGATCGAATACGAAATCGGCGAATCCTGAAGTAATTCGATACGTTAATTTGAAAATCTCGTAAATATTTTCTGCTCTAAAATATAGGCTGCCATCAGTCGGACAATTTTGTCGTTGTAAAAGTACGCTAGAAAACAGAATAAACAATTGAGAACCTTTTTTGTAATTTCTAAACACGCATATCGAAAACAGTGAAAGAAAACACCTGGAAACTAATATTCACATAAATACAAAAATAAAAATCGAATTTTCTACGCGTTTGAAATCTAATCATCGATTAGATCTCACTGCCGAATTTCGTGGACAACACAAAAATCGATCGTGACGAAAGTTTTTTCTTTTAAAAAAAAAAATGCGTAATTCGATGCGTGCACAACCTTTCTGATCGAAGATCAACTTTCTTCGAGTCTTCGAAACACTGATGACAGTGTGTTTACCAAGCATTATTGATAATCGTAAAGAAAATCTCCAATATACTTTACACAAGTATGTTACAACAAAAAACGAAAGGGACTGATTGTATTTGAAGAAGTTAAACATAATTCAACGTTATGTTCCTTTAAAAAAAAATGAACGAAATAAATTCTCTGTAATTGTAAGGCTACAAAATTCTTCGATTAAAAAAAAAGAAGTTCAAAACGAAATTATCTTTGACATCTTTGAAATTCTGTCTAACAAACACACAAATTGTTTCGCGTCATTCAACTTAAAATCATTCGGCTAATTAAACGTTTACTTCTAAAAAATAATAAAACAATTTCTTGCGATCAAAGAATAAAAATATTTCAAATACCAGCAGCTCCCTAACCAAAGCCCAACCGCTCGAACAAAATGTGATTAATTCACATTCTGATAAACCTGACGTTGCACCACTTCACTCTAAAACAGACATCTCTAAGAGGCAAACATTTCTCAAACACTAGCTAACAACTTCGAAAATACGTATAAAATTGGTGTTTGTTTCGGCAGTCCGTTGAAGAACGTGCGAATTAATTCCCAAACTCTTATTAGCTGATTCGCTCCGGCTTTCAAGCGCAGAGAAAATGTTTCTCGAAGTGTCTTAGATCTATCGTCTATCTTCGAACTAGAACGTTAGACCTCGCTCCGAACTCCTTCGTTCCGAGGAACGCTCGCTATACATTTTTACACGTTTGATTCTCCAGCGGTTCAAAGAGGGTTCTTCCTTGCCCTGTCAACTCGTCAAAACTTCCAGCAGCGTGACCCGCTTGTGTCGCATGATCTCTCGAAGAGATCGTTCCGTGTACCGTTCGATACGTTTCTCATTGAACTCTCAACAGGTTCGTGTTAGCAAACGTGACGGATGAAACGAACCATTCGTGGTCACCGTTAAGCTCGTCCACCATGAAGAATAAATATTATGCGACACTCGGGCGCCACTGGTCGTGGATGCGTTAGCGTAGAACGCGTGGACGAAGTTCTGAAATTCGCGAGGAACATGAAGAGCTTCGAAGAGCTTTGAGGAGCCGCGTGAAACCGTAACTGATCCGTAACGAAATGTTCGTGGATTGCTCGAGTTCAACCCTGTTCCATTGGAATTTTCAACGAATTAGTTATGCAGCATTTCGATGATCAACGCCGTCGAACTCGTTAAAATCCTAGAAACTCGTGGTTCCAAGGTGCGGACTTCTCCTCGGTCAAAATCGAAACGGAGGGAGCCGACGGCAAATCTGCACGACGATCGTTCGCGATTCTGTACGAAGTTTCTCCGGCGAGAAGTTTCCTCGATAAAAGCCTTTCCCGTAAGAAGTCTCTTCGATAAGAGGTCTCTTCGACAAGAAGTCGATCAAACGACGAAGCAAATCAAATCGTTCTCGAGTAGTGTGACCCGTTCCTCATTGAACTCGATCAAACGGTGATCCACCGTGTACTCCGGGAGCGTACTCTCTCTCTCTCTCTTTGTTGCCCGGCTTTCGCAGACTGCAATCGTCGCGAAGAAACAAAACATAAAAAAAATCACGAAAAACAAGAAAACGATGGTATTACTGTAGTTTAACATCGCGTGGCTCCCGTTCACGAATGCGGGAGCGTTCACGCAGGTGAACATCTCGTCGGTTCGCTTCTCTTTTTCTTCAGAGAGAACCTCCGAACGTCACCTCTCGCTTGACGTTAAATTCCAAACAATAATACATATATGTATACATATATAAGTTTCAACATGTATACACGTGCGATGCTAGGAAAAGGAGAGGCGCGCCAGACGAACGAGACTCGGTCTCGACTTCTAGATTCGGCGACTGGAAAATAAGAATCTGATCAATGCGATCGTAGTGTATCTTCTTCAATCTCTCCTGTTTCTTCCATTCAAAAGATTATTCGTAATTTTGCTTGATTTTACCGATTTCATTACTTTTCGTTCGATTGCTTTACCGATTACGTATATGTGCTCGTGGTAAAGGCTAATTGTGATTGATAGTCATTCGATGTTATATCTTTTATTATCAATCTCTTTTACGATTATTACTTTACCGATTATGTACGTGCTGAAGGCAAATTGTAATTAATAGTCATCTGAATTTATATCCTTTATCATCAACCTTTTAAACGATCTTTTATCATCAACCTCGACACGTTATCCAACGATGATTTCATAATTAGACTGCGGATTTTATGCATTTGTCGTAAAAATAGGTTGGCGAAATATGAAACTGTACGGAGATTATAAGAATTTGAGATTATCTACATATCGTTAACAACCAATTTTAAACAAGGAGCGATATTTGTTTCGTTCTTGCTGGTTGCAATTTATGAAGAACGTTTCTAATTTGCAAAAAGATCCGATGTCTTTTATGTACGCGACGTCAACGGCCAATCGAAAAAGGCTTCATCAAGAAAACAAATTTTATAATAATCTGTATATTGAAACAAAGACGGATTGAATGATTATAAGAACAGAGCAGTTATGAAAGTTAGTCTGACCAATCGCCGAATCGCGAAACAACTTCGAGCTTCTTTCGCTCGGCTTCTCGATTTCCTAGAGCCCCACGTGTATCCTATATATATAAATAAATATTTATACTATATAACAAAAAGTGCCCACTGTCTGGGCATCGAAGCCTTCTGACTCGTTCTAAATAGTCCGCAGTGCGGTTCGTTGCGAATTCGCTGAATAAGATAAAGTTTTCTCTTTATAAATACTTCGTCAACCTTATCTTTCGAAATTCTTGCCTCGCGCGAAACGATCTTGGCAAGTTATCTTAGGAGGCTTCGATATTATTCTTCGCTCGAAGATCGAATTATCTTTTCCTATGGCTCGTCTTCGTTCACTGGATAAGGGTATGTAGCTGTTCCACGCCGAACACGCGCGAACTATACTTACCGTTGTCGCTCACGACGATCGACGGATCGCCGGCGTTTAGTCTTCTTTAAAAACGTATAAAAAACGCGTTCTCTGTGAATGTCTCTCCCTTTTGACGTGATGCTCGTTGACCGTGACCCATCTGTCACGCCTCAATCGCTCGTTTTCGTTTCTCTCTTTCTTTCTCTCTTCTGCGTTTCGATTTTGGTTTTCGGTTCCCTGTCGCTGTCTCGAGCGAACGCACAGTGGGTGGGACGCGATTCGTTGGCGAATTTCGATGAAAAATGATTGAACAGTCTCAAGGTTCGGATACTTTCCCGTCGCATTTTTGAGCTTGCGTAATTGACGAACAGTGTGCCTTTGAGAATTAATGCGGCAGTGTGTGTCGGCGAAGTGGGACGCGACGGGATAGAGATCGATTGAGCCAACAATGCTCTAAACGGTGAAATTATCGATTGGAATTGATACAAAGAATTCGATTCTACGGAACTAAGGAAGTATTATAGAAACGTTGGTACGCGTCTCTTTGTGCTTTGTGTGTGAAGAAAAATTGTAAAACAGTTCGTACAGTTCGAGGTGTCCTCAAAACTGTAAGCAGTGACATATGGTTGTTTCAAAATCTGGTTCGGCTAACACTTTGCGGACCGCTAGATGTTTATATTCACCGTGGATTTTACCCATTTATGACAAAAATTAAATGAATCGAATTCAAAACAGCGAAAACATTTAAAGATACTTATTCATATGTATTATGCATTATGTATTCATTTCTCAATAGAAATGAAGAAGTTTGCTAAGCTCCTGCATCTTGCAGGCAATTATTATTTGGCGTAAAGATTCGCAGTCTATTGACAGTAATAAATGCAACATTTTTCATTTTTAAGAACACAGAAAACTCTAGTGACATATTTCAACTAAATTTTAGACATTGACGACTGATCAAGATTGATTAACGATTATTACGTATTTAACATCCTCCGTTAATTATCTAGAACAAATCTCTAACACACGAATTGACAAGTCTATAATTCTCTGTAAGTGAAATGAAACGTTCTCTGGACGGTTTATTGTTATAACTTTTGTATCGGTTTATCGTAGACGTTGCAGTCGTACAGAACGCTTCACTTATCGTCTATTTTCATTACTTTCTGAATCAGTAAAGTCATCAGTCTCTCAGAAGGCATGGAACTTTATATGTATACGCTAGACGCTTAGCAGAGAGTAGTTGCATCTTCAATATTCCGAACAATCTCCTCTGAAACAATTAATCCATTTGAAACATTTCGCACTGGTGCGAATATAACCTTGAGAAGCCACAGTTTCCTGTCCAAATTCAGAAGTCGATCGAGCAAGCAAAACGATCCTCGTTGTCACGACCGATTGCAAAAAAAAGATACAGACTGCGAATTTCTATAAATTCGCGTGAATTTCTAACGAAACACGACGATCTTCGAACGGTCCATAATTTGTTACCGGACACCAGAATCGAAAGTCGAAAAAAGTCAAAAACGTCCTCGAATTAAGCGTTGGAAAGTCTCAAAATTCGTGGTCGTCTACGAACCGACGCGAGTACCGAGCAATGTTGGCAGTGTTCAAACGGCGAGCACGTGGGAAAAGAAAAGAGCTACGCGCTCTGGTACCAAAGGAAACGACAGTTTGTGCACCTGACTCGATGCAGTTGATCGACGCGTGGACGGCACGCAATCGATGGGACATGATCAGCCGGTCCGAATCGCTTCCGGTGACTGAGGAACAATCGAAACGGTTCATCTGTGAACGGGTTCTTCGCTCGAGTTCTCTTCGGGCGGGCGCGATGCCGTCAAGGTTTACCCAATTGTGCAGGGCGCATCGGCTTCAAACCGGCGGCGGGCCTCTGACATAACGTAGCTGAGGGGTGAGGGACAGGTTCAAGGTGTTCGTGGCCTCGCAGCAATGCGGCTCGAGGAAGCAAGCGGCGCAGAACAGGGCGACCAGGGCCAACTGGAAGGGCAACGCTGCCCTCAAGATCCGCCAGACCCAGCTCTGGGACAGCCCCGGCTCGCTGTCAGGATCGCCGGCGTCGGTTGCTCCGCTCTTCGCCGTGATCTTCATGATCCGCTCCGAACCCTCTTTCAGGATCTCCGTGAAGCTGGCCTTCTTGCGTTTGCTGCACAGAAATCAAAAGGGAGCTCGTGTTTAACCTTTGTTAATGGACGAGAACGTTTGCGACTGAAATGAGCAGGTGCAATTTAAAACGGTAGGGAATTCAAAGGTGCTAATTACTTCGAACATTTTTATAACGAGAGAACGAAATCGTGATTTTTGGGCAAAAATTTCCGCTGACTGTAGCTTTGCTTATTCACTTTTTAAAATTAATGTAACAGATAACACTGACTACAATTGCGGAAATGAAGAGCAGGAACAAAACCGTGTGTTATGGTACTGGTTTTTATTGGATAATCAAGGGACTAGACAAATGGAAAATTGAGGAAACTGGGCTTTTTCTTTCACTGTCGACTAATTGTCTTCTTCTTAAACCTACAGCAAGTATTTGTGATACCATATATTCCTTCTTAAAAAA